AGCACGGCCTACAGATCTTCACACACACACACACACACACACACACACACACACACACACACACGGAACTAATAATCTAATACTGTATAGTTTCATTCAATATCATAAAATGTTTTGGAGGATATATGGCTTGTTTTATGATACAGGGAGAGAGAATTCTAACATTTCTAGTAAATCTCTGTCTGTCACCTAAGTTTGGAAAATATATTATTAATTTTTTTCAAGCTTTTCCATATCATTATCTAACTTTATATCATAAGAAAAATTAACAACAAAAAGTAGGCCAAGAAAAAGAACCTTGGGGTGAGAAAGGGTATAAATAAGTTTGTGATAAGAGCAATACAATGTCAATGTGTTTTTGAAAAAGAAATATATGCAGAATATCTTCCATTATCATAATCATTTATTTACTCATTCACTGATTTTTTGTTTGTGAGCAGCGCTGATCATGGCATCTAGTTGGCAGCCATTATGTTACCCTGGTTGGGCAATGAAATGCCTGCAAGCTAAAAGCCAAGCTCAGAGAGCATTAAGAACACTCCCTGATGTACTCAAGCCAACTTCTGCATGTGAGGATATTCAGGGATGAGAATTTGATTTGGCTTACCCCAGGAGGTTCTATCATTCCATTTCCTTAGAATGAAACTGCTAACATTACTAAATCTAAATTATTAACAGTTCTATTTCCCTAGTCACAAATGAAGTGTGCAAGAAGCTAACAATAAAAAAAAAAATACACAGCTCTTTGTAACTGATGCTATTGCATGCTGGCAGAAATTCAAGCCAGCCTAATGTTTTCCTGCCATCGTCAACCGCCCAGCATATATCTGAACTGTAAGTCAAAGTGTAATTTATCAAAGGAAATCCCTGTCAGGTATAGGTGGAGTTACTGCAAAATCTTACTTCATTCCAAAAGGAAAATGGATGAGCACACTCCAAATAAATAAACAAAAATAAATAACTGGGAACAAAACTGAATAAAAATCACCAAAAGAAAAACACCAAAGAACAATATTTCTTAAAATGTTTTGGCTTAGAAATAACTTATTTATATCAAGGTCTTGATACTTGCTGTCACCTCCTAATTCCAAGCAATTGCAAATTCCAAATAGATCTCTTTTAAAGAAAGAATCAGCAGTAGCTTGGCTTTCAGTCTGATGGAAAATGAAGTCTAGTTAAGGTTACAGAAATCCACAACAGGAGGATTTCTGTCCAAACAGATTTTCATCAAAATGTGATCATTACAGCTATATCCACCAATTTTTATTTTCATCAATTTCCCTTATTTATCCTAGTAAAAAAGCTATACAAATTAATTGGTTTATTTCTTTACAGGCACCATGTATATACAATTGTGCTGTTATTTGTTTATCTAACCTCAGTAGACTATGTGCCCTGTTTTGTCTTCCTAATAAAGAATTAAATTAAACCTTAATCTTTATACACATGTTTGAGAACCAGTTTGGCATAGTGATTAAAGTGTTGGTCAAGAAACCAGTAGCCTGTGACTTCTAGACTTGCCTTAGCCAAGAAAGCCAGCTGAGATATTTTGGGCCAGTCACTCTCTCTCTCAGCCCAAGCCACGTCAGAGGGTTGTTATAGTGGGATAAATGGAGGAGGAAGGTATTAAGTATGTTCCTTTTTCTCAGTTATGTATAAAGTAATAAATGCAAGATTTAAAAATGTAATAAATAAATAGGCAGAAGAAAAACATCATGGCTTCAAAACCTAAGGGACTGGTTTGGACAAAACTCAGCAGTACTTTTTCATATGGCCGTTGACAAAAATAGAATTGCCAACATAATCGCCAATGTCCGATGACGGATATAGAAGGAGAAGGAGAAGGAGAAGGAGAAGGAGAAGGAGAAGGAGAAGGAGAAGGAGAAGAAGAAGAAGAAGAAGAAGAAGAAGAAGAAGAAGAAGAAGAAGAAGAAGAAGAAGAAGAAGAAGAAGAAGAAGAAGAAGAAATAAATGTTGTCAATCAGCCCTGACCCTTATATTTCATTTTTCTCTGATAGTAGTTTCTATGCTATTCCATATGTAATTTCTGTATTAGCATTCCTCAACCTGATGCCCTCCAGAAAGACATATCAGTTGGAAATTCTTCATACATACATATTTACCATGCTCCTCCATTTCACAATATGCAGCATTATATTTTTACACATAATCATATATTTATGTAATCATACAATAATATGGAATGATAGGTTAAGAATCAATAAGCAAAAAGAATTAAGAGTCAAGAAATCAAAGAATGTCATTTCCAACAATTCTTGTTTTGACTATATCCATACATTGCTTCGTACATTGCCTTTTGTTTTTTTAAACTTCTCACCTCTTTCTTCTCCATTTCCATAATCAACACTATTCATCCATGATTCCTCAGCCTTTTCCTTCTTCTCAACCCATTAACTCTTCCATCATATCTTTATTTTCTGTTTTGATCCTCATTCATTCTCTTGGTATAATCAAACCAAATCAAATAACTTATGTCAGTCAGTCACTTTATTTTCAGTCCAAACTGATTCAGCACCCATTTTGTTCTGGAACCTACCACTTGTTCTACCACCTGTTCTATCACTCATAAATGACCTATTCCTAGTGTCCAGTATTCAACTTTTATGTTTCTCCATAAATGCATATCCTCTCTTCCAAATAACAAGTGAAAAGAAACATATTCTCAAACACAACGATTTTTACTTCTTTCAATAAGCTTTCATTCTTTGCCACAGACCACAAACCACACGTGTTTCTACCAGTATTTCTAAATCTTAAAACGTCTTCATTGTCTCATTTTTAGTAAGCATTCTACTAAAGAATTCAAATGTAACTGCTTGCTCCATTTTTTTTCACCATTTATGCATAAGGGGAAATTATTTACTTCATTCCTCTGTCAGACATAACTGTATTGGGTTTTTTAGGCCAATGTCTATTCTCCTATGTTTATTGCATCCAAGAGGACTTCATACACCTTCCCTCACTTATTTGTCAGCAGTAAATCATTTACCAAGCATTTCATTTGCTCTCATATATGCTTTACTTTTATCATTTACCACCCATTACATTCAGCAACCAGCCTTCAGCTCCATATTCAAACAAAACATTTAATAGTTCAGTCCTGTTCACTTTACCATTTATTTTCTCTAAATCTACAAACACAGAATAAACCTTCTCATATTCATACATTTCTCAGTCAGTTGTTGCAATTCATTTACTGCTTTAAGAATATTTTTAACTATAAACTTAGGTTTTAAAAATCTGTAATTGTATTTCTTTTTATTGGGTGTATAATTTTATACACACTATTATAGTTTGATATGGCTTTGGGCTATTCTAATTAGTATAAAAAAGGAGAATAAAAATAAGTAAATTACAAAACAATTACATATATCCTGTGGCCAGGTAAAGGCAAAAGATCAGTCTTGTAGTGATCACACATCACATTTGGCTTCACTATTTCATATTATTAATTATTTGCTAAACACGTACCTTGCTGGCACATCACCTATTGCTTTCAGAGCTTAAGCATGTTGCCCAATAAAGTTTATAAATGCTCAGTAAAATTTATAATAGTAAAAGTAGGCCATGTCTCATTTCTTGCATCAATACTGGGAGTTTTTTTAATATACAGTATGTAATAACCAAGTGTATATTATTCCTATATTCAGAGTCCCATTCTTGTAATAAAATTCCTTCCTTTTCCAAGCAAATTAGGCAGAGGTTTTGCAAGCCACATCTGAGGTAGATAATGTTGGAAGACTATTTTGTATATAGTGATAAAAGTACTAACTGGACCAGAAAGAATCCATATCTGAAAGAGAATGTAAACCTGTTTGCAAGCTTGCCCAGCAAATGACCTTTTCTAGTGATCCTGATGGATAATGAGCTTAATGAACAGTGTAATGAAGTACATACAGTCCATCCAAATGCATAGATGCATGGAAATGCACAGCATGCTAGGGTGGATGACAACAATGATATGCCAAGGACTAAGAGAAGATTAAAATATGACTGATGTTGAAAAGTGTCAAGAATCAGAACATAAACTTCCATAATGAGGAATTGCCAAGAATAGCTGGACCCTTCAGATTGCTTTCTAAATTGTAACAATATTCTCTGATGAGATTGGTGAAAACTACCTGTCAGAGTCCAACACTTTTAGCTTATAAAACAAATGAATATGAGCCCTGTGTGTAAGCTAGAAGTAGTTATCGGAAGTAAAGGTGTACATGTAGTGTGTACAAACTTTGCTATTCTATAGGTTGCTATACTATATACTGTTTTTGTCTATCTCATGGTATCTTTTTCATACTGGGAATCTTTCTGGAATCATGCAACTAAAGGCAACTTTTGGTAGTTAATTATCGTAAAAAACTCACTAATTACATTAGTTGGGAAAATTGTACTGAACAGTGATAATACCTTTAATTAATCATGTTGGAACAATAAAATATTCCATATAAAAGTGGAATAAACCTATCCAACTGATAGAGTGAGCATAAGTATCCCTCAGTTCACAACCACTTGTTCAGTGACTACTCAAAAATATGATGGTCTTTATGACTGGTGCTCATGGCTGCACTTGTCACAGCATCTCCATGCTATGGGGATATGATCACAATTTTGGGTGCTTGGCAACCAGTTCACAATTGCAATAGTTGCAGTGTCCTGTAGTCATGTGACTGCCCATTTGAAATCTTTACTGCTGGCTTCCAAAAAGCAAAATCAATGGGGAAACTGACAGAAGGTCACAAAAGGTGATCATATGGCATTCTGCTTAACAATTGTGCAAATTTCACTTGAAAACTAGAACAGGACCTGACAAAACTCATTGTAAATCAATGTGGTCACATGATATTGCACTTTGTGACAGTGTTATTTAGTGATGGATATGTTGGTCCCAACTACCAACATTACCAATTAAGCAAGGTGATGCCTTCTGCAGTGTTTTTGCATATTGGAGACAAAGTACCAGGGATGGGGGGAATAAGTTGTCTATTTCTTTCCCCTTCCAAGTGGTACTTACAGCAAAATTATGCCTTCTTCCCTTCCTTGTGGCCATCCCAGGCACCATCACTGAACCAAGGTGAGTTGCCACAAAACACTGTCTCCTTGGTATGTTAATAGGTGCTTCTTTCAGCTTTAATCTGCTGACCTGCCTTGCATGTACAGTACGTTATCCATTTACAGCTTATGTTTTGAACAAAAATGCTTTGATTGCATCTTGTTGAAGAGAATGATTCCAAATGTTAGCAAAGTTTTGCTTACAGGGGAATAGGATCTTTATTCTAGTTCTGTGAACCATGTGTGAACTTTAGGTTTATTCCCTCTCTTCTGCTATGCTACAGAAAATAATGAAATTGACATGACAAAAAGATGTGGGCAATGGAATCAGCATTCAGCCTGACATTAACTGTTTGGGAGGCAGTTTTAATTTTTTCACACACTTGTTCCCTCTGACTCTCATGATTTGGGATACATAACATACAGTTGTTTTGAAAGATTGTTGATGCTGCAGGAAGCCTCCATTCTAAAGTATGGGATTGAAAATGACGAAGTGCAAACACCAGATTCCCCCAGGGAAATAGCCTGGATGATTTTTTAGAACCTCTGGATAAATGAGATAACATACACACACAGAGAGAGGTACATCCTCCAGGACCCAAGGGCCATTTTCAACCACTTTAATCCTATGACAAATTTTATTGGAGTTTGGTAACGCTAAACATAAAGATAGCAATAAATGTTTCTTTTTTTTTTTTTTTTTTTTTTTTTTAAATATACTTTATTGAGTTTTCCAATATTTAAAAAGACAAAATACAATCTCAATCTTGATCCGGGGTACGGTGTTTACACATTTCATAAGTCAAATATTGGATGGATTCCATCCATAACTATCACTATACATTATATTATACAATACTATATAATCGTCTACATTTCTATACCATTGAGTCCATTTCTGGTGTTTAAGCAACTATAGCCTATTATCGTACTTTTATCCTATTCTTTAACCAATTATACCAAATTCCCCATACTTCATAGTGCTTAGAATTTTCTTCATTTTTTAGCTCGTTTGTCAGTTTAGCCATCTCTGCGCACTCTAGGATTTTATTTATTAATGTTTCCTCAGAGGGGGTAGATTTAGATTTCCAAAGTTTCGCAAAGGCTATTCTAGCCGCAGTAATAATTTGAGTTGCCAAATGGGTTTTATTATTGTTGAGACCATCTTCCGTCATACCTAAGAGAAAGAATTCCGGGGCCAGGACTATCTCCTGTCCCATTATTTCAGAGAGCCAGAGTCGGATCTTTAACCAAAACTTTTTGGTCTCAGGACAAGTCCACCAAAGATGATAAAAGGTGCCGACCGTTTTTCCACATTTCCAGCATAAAGCAGAAGAGTTTGGGAATATTTTAGCCAGCCTGTCCGGGGCTAGGTACCACCTATGCAACATTTTGTAGTGGTTTTCCCTGAATGTTGACGATTTTGTTATTTTGAGGTTCCTATTCCAAGCTGTCTCCCAGTCATTGAAATTAAGGCCATATCCTAAGTTTTTCTCCCAAATGCTTAACTGTTTTTTAGCTATCATCTCCGCTCTATCCTCATCTAATATAAAGTTATAAATTTTGGATAACATTTTCTTATCTGGACCCCAAATGATTTTATCAAAATATCCATATTTCATTTCAATACCCCTTCTATCTCTATCTTCTTGAAATCTAGACTTAATTTGGAGATAGTTCCACCAGTCCAGATTGAACCCCTGGTCCCTCAATGCTTCCAAAGGTTTGAGCTTCCCTTCTTCGTCCAAGATATCCTTATATGTGCCCATTTTATAGTTTCCTCTCCTATTTGGGACCACTAGAGCTTCCATAATCGACAACCAGCTAGGAACCTTGGTATATATCTTCTGTCTAATTTCCCGCCACGTACAAATCAATGTCTCTCTTATTTTATGTTTATGAAAATACGTTTTCCTCCTATCCTTTATATCCCAGAGGTAAGCATGCCATCCTTCATGGAGGTCATGTCCTTCTAGTGTCAGAGTTCTCCCTTCTTTTAATTTAATCCACTCCTTTATCCAAATTATTTTTGCCGCCTTTTGGTATAATTCCCAATCAGGGAGCCCAAACCCTCCCAAATTTCTTTTCCCTTGAAGTGTCTTAAGAGATATCCTTGATTTCTTACCCTCCCACAAGAAATTCCTAATATATTTATTCAAATCCAGGAAGAATTTTTTATCCAGAGATACCGGTATGTTTTGAAATAAAAATAGAAATTTCGGTAGAATATTCATTTTGATCGCCGCAATTTTCCCGGTCAGGGACAATTTAAGTCTCCTCCACCTATCGAGGTCTTGATTGATTTTCTGCAATAAGGGAATATAGTTATCATCTTTTAATGAAGATAGTCTTGCGGTAATCCATATTCCCAGATATTTTGTTTTCTTAACTACCTGGAGGCCTAGTAGATCTTCTAATTCTTTCGTTTGTAGGTTTGTCATATTTTTCACGATTATTTTAGTTTTGTTCTTATTAAGTTTAAGGCCCGCGACTTCTCCATAGTTCTGAACTTCCTGCATTAATTTTGAGCCGGTGTCTAATGGGTCTTCAATTATAAAGGCGACGTCGTCCGCAAAAGCCTGGGTTTTAAATATTTCCTTCCTAATCTTTAAGCCTTTGATATCTTCATTTGCTCTAATCTTTCTAAGTAGGACCTCTAGTGCTAGAATGTAAAGTAAGGGGGATAGGGGACATCCCTGCCTGACTCCTCTTTGGATCTGAAATGTCCGAGTTCTGTCTCCATTCACTAGTATGTTTGCCCTTTGATTATGATAGATATTCTCTATCATCCTCCTAAAGTTAGTCCCGAATCCCATTAGATCTATTTGATTTATCATGAAGGTCCAATTTAAATTGTCGAATGCCTTTTGGGCATCAACAAACATTAAAGCCATCTGCTTTTCAGGGTGTTGTTCATAGTATTCAATAGTATTTAAGACTGTTCTCAAGTTGTCTCTAATCTGTCTCCCAGGGAGAAAACCATTTTGGTCCTTGTGTATCCATCGGTTTAGAATTTTCTTAAATCTCTCCGCAATTATAGTCATAAATAATTTATAATCTGCGTTAAGCAGTGAGATGGGTCTATAGTTGGAAATCTGTTTCGGGTCGGCACCTTCTTTCAGAATGATCGTCAGGTAGGCTTCCCTCCAGGAGTCTGGGATTGTTATACCAGCAATAACATCATTTAAAATTTCTAGCAGTTCCAATTTCAGGGCATCATCAAATTTTTGATATAGTTCCCCAGGGAGACCATCAGGGCCTGGGGTTTTATTCTTCTTTATTTTAGATAAGGCAGATCTTAACTCCTCTATGGTGATCTTTTCATTTAACATTTCCTTTTCTTCTTCCGAAATTTGAGGGAGGTTGGCTTCCAACAAATACTGTTCTACCTTATTTAACTCAATTCCTTCGTTTTTGTAAAGACACTCATAAAATTTTCTTATACTTTCTAATTTATCTTCTTCCTTTGTCAACAAGATGCCCTGCGGGTCTTCTAAAGCTAATATTTGGTTTTTTTCCTTCTCTTTTTTTAATTTATACGCCAACCATCTCCCCGACTTGTTAGCATTCTCGAAACAATAATGCTTAGATCTTCTTATTTTTTGAGCCATCTCCTCCTGGTCCAATAAATTCAATCGGTGTCTCAACATCAACCACTGTTGTTTCGTCTCCTCGTCTCCCGGTCGTTGCTGTAATTCGGCCTCAGTTTGTATTAATTTTTGAGTAAGTTCTTCTCTACTCTTTCTTTTTTCCTTATTTTTAAAGGCAGTATATGAAATAGCTATTCCCCTGACATACGCCTTCATAGTGTCCCACACAATTTCTTTGGCTGTCTCTCGATTCCCATTTTCTAAGAAGAAGCGTTTGATTTCTTCATTCAATTTTAGTGTAAACTCTTTTTCGTTTAAGAGATTGGTCCTTAAACTCCATCTCTGTTGTATTTTCTTCATATCGTGGGACCAACTGATTTCTAGGAGCTTATGATCTGCCCAAGTATTAGAGTCCATATTAACTTTCTTTATTTCTAACGCCAATTTTCTGGTAGCCCAAACCATATCGATTCGGGACCAGGAGTTCTGTGGGATGGAATAAAATGTAAATTGTCTGTCCTGGGGATGTAAGGTACGCCACATGTCAATTAAATTTATCTCATCTACTAAGTCAAAGAAGGTCTTTGGTAGGGGAGATCTTTTATTCTTTTTTGTTATATCACTCTTATAATCAAGCTTTGGATCCACAATTCCATTAAAGTCCCCTAGCATACAAATTTCAAGATGTGCCCAATTTGCCAACTGTTCCTGCAATTTCCTGTAGAATTTCCCTTGTTTTTTATTCGGTGCATAGACCCCTACCAATAACAGCCTAGCATTGCCTCTCGTTATTTCAACTATAAGTATTCTCCCTTTTCCATCTTTATATTTGCATTCTGCCATTATTCCTTTCTTAACGTAGATGGCGACCCCCCTTTTCCTTTTCTCTGCTAATGAGGAGAATACTTTACCAAATTTACAATAATTTAGATAATCAGCCTCATCTTTTTTTATATGAACTTCTTGGATGCAGATAATATCGGGGTTTTGTTTCGCCAATTTTGACAATATTATCCTTCTTTTTTTGTAATCATTTAAACCGTTCACGTTTACCGATATGATCTTAGTATCGTTCATTTCTAAAATTAGTTTCTAGTCTCTTGTTCTTACTTGCCTTTTAAAGTTACGGCTCTCACTGGTCTTGATTTTTTTCCTCTTTCCTCAGTATCCTCCTTTTTCTTCTCCTCTTCTATATCTTCTCTAGTAATTTGCTCTTGGGATATCTCTTCTTCCGTATTTACTATCTCGTTATCCTCCTTACTAATTTGCTCCTCCTCTCCTCCCCTTAGTTGTTCTAAAAAGTCCTGAGCATCACTTAGACAGTCAATTCTTATTTTCCTCCCTTGCCAGGAAATTTGCAATCCTTCTGGCAAAAGCCACCTAAAAATTATATTCCTCCTGTTTAGGTGGTTTGTCAGGAACCTATAATTTT